ACAGCGGCTCAATGAAAAAAATAATAACAGACTAATACAAGGACATTTTCAGACGAATAAAATAAACAGAAATACTCAACAACGTACACCCGTATATACCTATACAACCACAACAGGTAACAACAGACGGTCCTTTATGACTTTATTACATGAATTTTGTTCACCTATGACAATGTAGGTATCTGGAAACCGGCGAGTGAATCAGGTCAATTTGGTCATTTAGCAGGTTACATCCGCAATGCCTATGTTTATGAATTTCCAATGATTCCAATTAATTTGAGTTTCCAACCCTTGCCTGCTTAGTGCAAAATAGATTCGGGAACTTGTGGTTGCATACCAAGGAATGGTTTGAAAACATCGAATCATTTTTTCTAGCCTGAAGGACCTTTCATGTTCAGCGTACCGTTTTGAGAAATTTAGGCCACATTGACAATTGTCTGCTAACAATCTGGATAGGGAAATTATAGCAATTATACAGATAGGATAGAATAATGGTTTCATTGCAGACACAATCCAGAAGCTAGTCAGAATACAAAGCCTCAAATTTACGTACAGATTAATATACCCCCAAATCAAACAATCAGAGGTTTCTCAGAAAAACCAATGTGGAAGTAGCATTCACGCCTGGCATGAATGCTGGCATGATAACCTGGCATGAGCCAGGTTATCAAATTTCCTTTATCAATAACAAAGATAACGCTGGAGTTTATAAGCTCAAGTGTCTGGAGTATAATAGTGTTTATGTTGGACAATATGGCCAAAATTCCAAAACAGTATGCCGAACATGCATGCAACTACATGCAACCACGAATTACCGAATCTAAACAATACCAAAATTCTGCACTATGCAGGCAAGGGTCAGAACTTCAATTACTTTGAATCCTTGGAAATTCACAATCATAAGCATTGCGGAAGGAACTTATTAAATGACCAAATTTACCTGGTTTACCCGCCGGTTTTCAGATTAGCGTCCCCACATTGTCATAGGTAAACAAAATTCAGGTAATAAAGGACCGTCTTTACAACGATCTGGTTGTAAAGGTATGTAGGGGTGTACATTCTTGAGTACTTTAGTTTATTTTATTCGTTTGAAAATGTCCTTGTATTAGGATGAAACTGCAGTAACTTTAGGTACAAATAAAAGTGGCAAATAAACATAGGAATTTTCAATTCTCACTTTTCATAGATAAACTGCCAAACAATAATACTTGGACTGTATACTGAGTGCCAGAGCATTCAAAGGATCACGGTCAATGAAATAGCTTGTGCTAGATATGGATTATCAACTCAATATATAGGCCCTGAACCAGCTCTGGTAGTACCGAACGCTTTTATTCGAGACCAGGTCAGCAACTAGGTCAATGAGAAATAAAAGAATACTTCAAAATATACCTGGAAACACAAATGGGAAATCTTTAGTGAAGGGACCGTCTAAAAAAAGTGTTTCTCAAATCAGTGAGTGGCCCAGAATAATCACAGGACCACTTACTAGACACTACCCTTTCATTGAATATCTGAACAAATTCAAGTTTTATAATGGTGACCCTAGCTGCAAGCAATACACCAAAAGAATATGGACATCCCGTCATTTTATATACGAATGTGAGGCACTGAATCACAAAAGGCAAACAATTTATGGACAATCCAAATTATGTATAGGGGAATTTGACAAACTGCCAACAAAGGGCCAGTACATATTAGTTATGGAAACAAGTGATTATTAAGCATTTATTTTCATCGAGAAACGATACGTAGCAATGTTTTACATTCATTTTAAAAAGTACGCCATGAATTATTAAAATGTCTCCATGTGAAAAAATATAACATGACTGTTAAAACACACTCGTATCGTAGTAACTTCTCGACAGTGTCACGTTATTTGTTTTGTTAGCAATCGAGTTGAACTATATATTTTTTCATTAATGTCAAATTTAATTTTCAATTGTCAAAAGTTAACTTTGCTACTCAAGCTATATACTGAATCAATACTGTTGTGAAAAAATTTATATTTCGAAATGAAATTTCGGAAGATTCACCTCTCTCAACGTTCCTGCATAGTAAAATGTAAATACCTTGGCTAATACCGCAATGGAAATAGAATTATATGGGTCCGAGACTGGAATAATTTCATCGTGACTCGTTCCTCCACTCCCGAAAACCTTCGTCAGAAGAAGATTTCTAAACTAATAACTTCATATCGTGAACAAAGGAAATGTGTTGTTAATAAAATACTCATTATTCGTTGCCCCACCACCATAGTGAGAGCGTCTTCACTGACCAAGTTATCATTGATATAAATATTCCTTTCGTGAAAATCACTCAAAAACTGGTCGCTGTGTTTCATTATTTGAAATAGATAATTGGACAAATTGAAAGGTTTTGTAACGCAAATTGTAGAGCGAGAAAAAAGTTGCAACTGCAACTGAATATTTCATATTCATTAATCGTAATAAAGATAAAATTATGCATATAAACAAGAGTGCATTGGTATTATGATACCCCTCTCGTATATTGTTTACAAAATTACAGTACATTTGTCTTTGCCTTGTTATTCATATTGTGTATTTATGTCATTTAACACGTCATGTTTTATTTTGAATGGATGAAGCAAACCATATTAGAATCATTGACATATATAAAATTTTATATGAACTTATCGAAGAATGAAATGTCGCAAGTCAAAATTGAAAGATATTTACAGCTATGTGATGGAATTGGCCGACACTTGATAATCCATGCGTCCATCCTCAGGCGTGTACATATAGTAGGAACTTTCCTGAGAAAGTTTCTGTACAGTGCAACACGTGTTGTGTTTTTATAATTTGTTCAATGAAAATCTCAGAATAAAGTGTTAACTTGAATCCTTCATTTATTTAAAGCGTTCAACAAATTCTGATCATTAGAAATGATGTTTTCTTACTTACTGATATATTCATAATTACTTTAATTTGGTTTCTGAAGATTGTATATTTCTACTAGTTGTTGCCCGCGGCTTTGCCCACGTAGAATTTGGTTTGTCACATAAAGTTTCGTGACACACTGGTTCAAACGAATGGTTACAAAAACAGCTAGTATGGTATGGTACCTATTGTTTGACTGATACTCTCATATTAACGTACAACCGAAGCTACTGAACCTACAATCTTGAAATATGCAGGTAAATTCTTTGTATAGCGTAAATAAGCATCAAGAAAGGGAATTAGGAATTTCCACTCCCCAAGGGGGAAAAATAGGGGTTCAAAGATTATATTGAATTTCGTAAGTTTTGAAGTTAGAAACCTAAAGTTTTGAATTGATAAAAAATGTAACTATTTGTTTAAAATGGTTTGTCAAGAAAATTAATGTGACAAACCATATTCTACGCGGGCGAAGCCGCGGGCAACAGCTAGTAATTTATATTTTTACATTAAAAATACAGTAACTGAAAAAAATATTCCAACTGCACTAAGTAATGAATAGCTTGGAAAATCTAATTATGTTATCTATAAAGAAATTTCGCAAAACTAACACAACCTTCAACGACGTCTGCCCTCACGCGTCAGCCCGCTTTGACTATCACGTCAACTCTTTTGACTATCATGCCAACTCGTACTGACCAATACCGAAGTGGTATTTTATTGGATGTGGTTGTGGTAGCCATCCTGGCATTTAAGCGATGCTTGTTTTCGCTGATTTTTGAAACAGAAAGAATAACATAACATTAAAAAGAGAAAGATGCTTCCTCTTTGAAGATGATCATTTGGTGATCGAAACACGTGTCGAGGTGTTGGAAAAAACTCCAGTAATATTCATTACCACACCAAAGGTTCCAAACAGTGTATATCATAAGAACATTAGATAATGACAAGCTTTTGCAACAAGTGTTCGACGGATTTTAATAGTGAATTCATTCTAAGGTACAATTCTTACTTTTTGGATCCCAGGAGGGACTTCAAATTTGGAAAAAAAATGTAGATATCTTTCAAAAAAGTATTTTTAAGTTAATAATTCTCATGTTCATACATGTTGACCCTTAAATTGCTTGAAACCGACACACGTGTTTTGCTATACAACAGATTCATCAGTCATGTTGATTGAACGTCCTACAAGGACAATTTCAAACAATTACAATAAAAAGAAAATAAATCATAATATTAGTCCGGTCGGACGGTAGCCGGTCGGTTCGACGTGGGTGCTTTGTTCACTCACTCAAATCGATCGCCGTGTTGGTCGCTGGTTCAAGACCCAGGCTGAACGATCGATTTTCACTTGCTATCATCCAACCCGTGTTAGGAATCACACGTTAAAAGGTAAGACCTCGTTAGTCCTTAGCTCGCACAAGTTTCGACTTCTGAGGGTCGTCCATTAGTTACAAATAAAAGTGGTAAAAAAAAACATGTCGTTTTATTTCTCATTTCTCATGATGATCTACCACGTAGTAACGCCTACATCAATCAATTTCCCTATAATTGTAATGGTTTCTCTCTTTTATTGATTTAACTCCTTTCTTCACGGACCAACGTACGTTTTATCAGCTTTTCAGAGTCATCAGTCTATTATTCTGTTGAAGATCTGTCTTGATGAGATCAAGTTTGCGACTTTCGTTTGTTATTTCTATAACACAAACGAACACCTATTTGCTGTTTCCTATCTTAGCCAATCATACTAACCATTACGATTTACATGTACTATACCAAAATCCCGAATCACGTGAATATGGTTTACCACTTTTTGAGTGCTGAGTCTGATAAAATTATCGGACATTACTGATGTGTTTTTCTTACCATACATACATGTGTGCTATTATTTTTTCGTAAATTACAGTTCGCCTGTTTCAATGTGTTTTTTACAATCTTTCATCTTCACACCTCTAGAGTTCCTGACGAAGGGATAATGCAGTCTCGAAAGCTTGAACAGAAACAAAGAGTTTTCACTTTTTTTAACTTTTTTTAACTTTTTGCCCTTAACTCAGATAGTCAAGATATATATCAAATGGACTTATGACTTTGTTTTCGTTTCAGAAACACCTCGGATACCTTGGGATTTGAACCACTCATTAATCAAAAACTATCTCAGAATGAAAGGATAACAACATATTCCCGTTCGGCGGGAGACTATTCGGGTAGTACAAAATCTGCGGAGTCTGATGATGGTACTGTGCGAATAAATATAATTGGAATGACGTGCATGTCGTGTGTGAGAAATATTGAAGGAACAATCAGTAAGAGACCAGGGATATATAGTATTAAAGTAAGAATTCAAAGTAATGCGTCCATAGTAAAGTAATTTTATTGAAACATGTTTAGGTAAATTTGCAAGAAAAATATGGATTAGTGAATTATGACCCCACTACTGTGACTCCCCAAGAAATATGTGAATACATTGAAGATATGGGATTCGATGCGTCATTACCATTATTGTCAGATGATAAAGAAGTCAGTTCGTGTTTTATAGATATTAGGGGTATGACGTGTAACTCTTGTGTTCAAAGTATAGAAGGTAAAAGAGAAGAATTAGTGTGCTTCTGTCCGGTAATTTGTTCTTTCATCAGGAATGTTGTCGACAAGGGATGGCGTGAAAATGATTAAAGTCAATTTGAAGGAAAACGAAGGATATGTGGAATATTTGAAAAATAAAGTTTCTCCAGAACAAATTGCAGAGCAAATAGAAGATATGGGCTTTGAAGCTTATGTAAAATCTGTTGATGGTAAAATCATAGCTAAAAATTTAAAATCTGAAATCGAATCTAAGTCGCCGTCAAAAAGAGGCGCTGGCGGAGATGCTGATGTGGATAAAAATTTGAAAAAATGTAATTTACAAGTGAAAGGCATGACCTGTGGATCTTGTGTAGCTGCAATAGAGAAGCATGTACAAAAATTGCCTGGTAAGAAATATTTGTTTATATGGTGAGATTTCATTTCAAAAATTATTATCGATAAAAAAAGGTTCTATGATGTGGTCACTTGAAATTCCTGCCCAAACATTCAGTTTTTGATGTCGTTGGGTATGAACTTGACGGTATAAATGAGGATTAGTATCACTCCAATAACGACAATTTTGCCGATTCACCTCTCCATTCAAACTAAACGTACATCCATCCGAAAAACAAATTTTATACAAGAAATTCTGATACAAGTTGATCCGTTCAGTGAGACTTTAACAAAACTCGATATATCTATTGAAATCATCTTCGTTCAATTTATGAACCAGTCTAATCTCATATGGATGAAATTTGTACTTATGAAGGATCTTGAAAACTTTTGTACGACTGATTCCTGATTCTCGAGATAACTCAGTAAGAAATTGCTAATTTTTCATTAGTCCAATGTGCCCTAAAACTGCAGTACAAATAGCTTCATCGTTGACAACTCCTGAACGGTTATGCTTTTTATTGTTAACAGATCCAGTTTCTATAAATTTGTTCAATAATTCCGAAACGTATTTGTGTCGTACATTTCTCCCTAGATGATTATCATTGAACATATGGGCAGCAGCTCTGCCATTCTGGTTGTACAAACTCACTATTTCAATCCGTTCTCAAAGCGTATAAACCATTGCTTCTCAAGAATTCTCAAAAACAGAAACACCAATTGTAACTTCACCTGGAAGGTAATCGTTATTGTAGAATGAGACAAATACAAAATGAAAAGAATATGGAATTCAAACTTAACTAGGCAAAATAAGACTTTTTTGAAGTATACTTCACAAAAACACCTACGAAACCTAGGTAATAGATTGCACAGTTCATTCAGGGTGGCTAGTTTTCAACTCAAATAATTTTTAGCTTCCTAACTATGAGCTTCAGACCATAATGTATTCTACTTTGTTGAAATCTGTTAATCATGGAACATCTGATGATGCAAAACAATTGATCCATTAAAAAAAATGGTGATATGCTCTAGGGGTGCGATAGGGAAAGTAACCTCAAATGTGAATATGTCAAAATGTGTCCCCCTGTATACTATGGTTGAGGTGTTTTTTAATTTTTTCTGCAAATCATTGTACCAAAAGTTATTCAGGGTGGTTCGTTTTAAATGGAATGCACTGTATAGTGAACCAAAGTTTCAGCCAAAAGAAATAGACGGTAAATGACATAACTTTTTCATTAAAGAACCGATTGAAATGAATGAAACAGTAAATGTTAAGTAAAGCTTACCACAATACATTAGTGAAAACCGCTCTTAGATACGAGACCAGATACTTTACCGGTTTGAGCACCTTTTTAGTATTAGCAACACCTCAGGTCAAATATACTGAATATTACTTTTTTCTACCAAAACTTGATATGCTTTCCATCACCAAACAATAGACCAGATCCGTGATTTGTGTTAAAATAGTCATTCATCAGTCATCATCATAGTGATCAGAGTTATTATAATCTCCTGTTGATACCAAAACAGTGAGTGGAATCGTGTCGACAGAAAGCGGTTCACAGTTTCAGTCTAATCAGCTGAACAGTATTTTTGGAGTATCTCGCTATAAATCGCACGTTAATAGGTTAGACCTCGTTAATCTTCAACTCGCACAAGTTTCCACTGAGGGCTGTTTTTCGTAGGGACACGACAGCGGGTTATTGAAAAAGAAAACAGACACGACAGCGTATTATTGAAAAAGAAAACAGATTTCATCATGTTTTTTTAAACTTAATTTTGAGGGAAGCTTACCACAATTAATTAGTGAAAACATCACCCAAATCCATTAGGCTGTTTTTTAGTTTAACGGGCATAAACGCACAGAAACCGACAGCGATCACTCACACGTAACATATCTATGAGTATACATAAAAATTTCATAGATCGAAAAGTGAAATCAACAATAACTAATAAATAATATTACACAGTAAATACCTGAAAACTGGTTCATGCCTTTCCTGATTATATAAAAAAATCATTTTAATTTTTCATTTATGCCCGCTTTTATTAACTTGTACATTTGTAACCGGCTCACTTGGACTCGATTTTGACTGACTTTAAACGGACAGATTTATTTTAAACTTTATGCACTTATCAAGAATCGATGACATTACACAAATTTCATAAGTTTATCTCATTATCCTAACTAGGATTGCCAGGATTGAATAATTTCCTCACACAGTCTCTGTCTGAGAGCAAGTGAGTCAACCACACTGTCTGCGCATGCGTATATATTTTATATGAAAACAAATGTACTTGAAATAGCAAGCCAAATTCAAAACTGTAAAATGAATAATAGTTTAAAAAAACTCGCTTTAATAGCAAAACAAACTGAAAAATAAAACATAATTCGAAACTAATTTAAGGTTGTGTTCAACATCGATAATAAATCCTATACACGCTTTTTTACAACAAAAGTATTTTTTTTCAAATATTCATTATGATTTCAGACTTATTAAAAGTCATTAGTAACATCAAGCCATAGAACTTATTATCGATGTTGAACACAATCTCAAATTAGTTTCGAATTATTTTTTATTTCATAGTTTGTGTTGCTATTAAATACTGCCTACGAATAAATATCTGACTTTTTTCTTGTTTTGTTATATAACATTTTACTGTTTTCCTTTGTACTTTTTTTCGCGATCTTAAAAAATATGCTAATTTCATGTAAATTCCATTAATAATAGTATACCCATGTGAATGCTGTTTGACTGTTCATTCTATGAAGAACACTTCTCTTCACGAGCGTAATGTTATGTTATATCTTTGTTATATTATGTTCTGTAATATATACATTTTTTTTACGCTCACTCACGATATTTAAATGTTTCTGTTATTCAGTGTCACTGTTTTGAAAGCCGTGGATTTTTTGGAATTTCTTCCTGACGTTTCGCTGGCGCGAGTGGCTATCTGCTTCAGAAGTTTAACCATCATGGCTTGCTGTCCGATGACTAACTTTTTAGCCATGAGCCAAGCCATGATGGTTAAACCTCTGAAGAAGCTAGCCACTCGCGCCAACGAAACGTCAGGAAGAAATTCAGAAAATCCACGGCTTTCAAACTCGAAAAACAGTGACACTGAAAACCTCAGCCGAGAAAGTCTAAACCGTTTCTGTTATTTTTTATAACGTGTGTTTTTTTTTCAATTTAATGTTTTATGTATGTTCTAGGGTGTCACAAAGTGTTAGTTAACCTTCTGGCAGCCAGAGCCGAGGTTCAGTATGACTCTTCTTTAACCACTCCTTCCGATATAGCATCTTCCATAACGGATCTCGGGTTCCCAGCAACGGTTCTTCAACAGTCTCAAGCTGGAGAATCTGAAACCGATATCGAAATATCAGGAATGACATGCGCTAGCTGCGTGCACAAAATCGAATCAAATATCCATAAACTTCCAGGTATCACAAGTGCAAAGGTTGCTCTCGCTACGCATAGGGGAAGATTCAAATATGATTCAGAATTAACAGGACCTAGAGATATCATCGAGGCCATAAGAGCCCTTGGATTTGAGGCAAAGTTATTTAGTAGGGACAGCGGAAATGATTACTTAGAACAGAAGGAAGAGATAAAGAGATGGAAAAGAAGTTTTTTATTCTCCCTAGCATTTGGAGGGCCGTGTATGATCGCTATGATATATTTCATGGCACAGATGTCCTCTGGAAACATGTCTCATGAAGATATGTGTTGCTTGGTACCAGGTAACTGAATCAAACTCAACAAATATACTTTTATTTATTATAGTTGTTCTTTCTAAATATTTATCTAGTGAATGCAGAAACACTTTCCTATCAATTTTTCCAGGTTTATCACTAGAGAATTTTATACTTTGGATTCTGTCAACGCCGGTCCTTATATTTGGTGGCAAACATTTCTTTGTACAAGCTTACAAAGCTTTGAAACATAAAACGAGTAATATGGATGTACTTATAGCAATGGCTACTTCGATCTCCTATGCTTATAGTGTATGTGTTGTGATAGCTGCAATGGTACTTCAACAGAACACTTCTCCACAAACATTTTTTGATACGCCTCCAATGTTACTCGTTTTCATAAGCTTAGGAAGATGGTTGGAACATATTGCGAAGGGAAAGACATCGGAGGCTCTCAGTAGGTTCGTTACCAGTAAATCAGAACTTTGAAGTTTCAATTTAGAACCATAAATACCTTTCAGATTACTTTCCTTGAAGGCTACTGATGCGATATTGATAAGTCTCGGAAAAAATGGCGAAGTGATCAGTGAAGAACTGGTAAATGTAGATTTGGTACAAAGAGGAGATATAATGAAGGTGGTACCAGGTGCTAAAGTTCCAGTGGATGGTAAAGTTCTACAGGTAATTCAAATTGATATTATCTCATGGATAATTCATTCATTCAATTCAATCTTAGGGACAATCTATGTGTGATGAGAGTCTTATAACTGGCGAAAGTATGCCAGTCCCGAAAAAAATTGGCAGTACAGTCATAGGTGGCTCCATAAACCAGCATGGTTTACTTATAGTAGAAGCAACACATACAGGAGAAGCAACAACTCTTTCTCAAATAGTAAAACTTGTTGAAGAAGCTCAGACCTCGAAAGCTCCGATACAACAACTGGCCGACAAAATTGCCGGCTACTTCGTACCTGCTGTGGTTTTACTATCATTACTCACCCTTATAATTTGGTCAATTGTAGGTGCAATCGATATAAATAATTTACCAATCAACGAATCAGAAAAACATGGATTCAATAACACAGAAATCATTCTCCAATTTGTTTTTCGTTGTGCCTTGAGTGTATTGGCTATCGCTTGTCCATGTGCTTTGGGATTGGCTACACCTACTGCTGTCATGGTAGGAACAGGTAATAAAATTATCGGTTTTGGTTTACAACTATCAAAAAAATATTTAGAAAATATATAAGTTAATCTAAGGAATTAAAAAGTTGTTGAACTAATTAAGTAGATTTTCCTTTATAAAGAAGAAACAAAATCATTCAACATTTCTTCGTATTTAGCAATGGTTCATTCTTAAAGTAAACTCAAATATCAATAAGTCAGCCATCCTGTTTTATCTTTTCTTGTCCTGAAATGTAGTGTTATAGATTTTCATTAAATGAAAATGTCAGAGTAATGGATACTGTCAATAAATTTCTTGAAAAACAAATATAAAATACATTTGCTACTAAACATAAAATCAAAAACACAAAATGATGAGTTAATACATACTGGTTTTATTGAAAAACAGACCGTAATTCTCTTTTTTATTTGACCCACAGCAACAGCGCAATCTATCTAGCCTATCAATTTATAAATCTAACTTATCTATCGACTCAGAACTGGAATTTATTGTGCGGGGAGAAATTTCAGTTACACACTCGGTCAGTACACATCAGCCTTTCAGGCTAAGGTGTATGCAGTCTCGAAAAGCGCAAGGAACATTAATTTAAAGTGTCAACGAAATGAGTGGATCTAAAGTTTACAGGCTGTACTTGGAGCATTGACAAACCCAAAAGTGACATTGGGACTGGTCTGGGAATACCATGAAGAACTGAGAAATTGAAATAGATTGGCTATATACTGGGTGCCAGGACATTCAGGCATTGCTACATATATTTTCCCTAAACTAGCTGTGGGGTACGAAAATCTTCGGTACGAAACTATATTGGTAAATGGGTCTATAAAAAATATAAAGAGTACTGGGAAAATGTACCCAGGAATACATACGGAAATTCCTTTATAAAGAAACTGTCTGTGAAGAGAACTGAAGAACGGCCTCAGCAAAGCAAGGTTCAGCTCAAAACAATTACAGTGCTACTCACTGGATACTGTCCATTGAGAGAACACCTGGACAAAATAGGGCTGTACAACGGAGATATTAACTGAAGGCAATGCAAGAAAGGTACCGGATCTCAGGAGGAAAATAATTAATGGACAATCCAAATTATGTCCAGAAGAATATGATATACATCCAGCAAAGATAACTGTACAACCTAGTACAGGGCATAAGATTGTTGTGATGGTTGTCATTGAAAAAATGGAGAAATATACAATAAGCCCATGAAGCTTCAGTTTTTTCTGGAGAATTGGGAGAAATGGACAAGTCAGATGAAAAAAAAATTTAAATGTAAATCTAGTTACTTTGATATCAGTCATATAAATACAAAAAGAAATTTTTCAGGAGTGGGTGCTATAAATGGAATTTTGATAAAAGGTGCTGAACCTCTTGAAAACGCTCATAAAGTTAAAGCTATAATGTTTGACAAGACTGGTACAATCACAAAAGGAGCTCTAGAAGTGGCAAAAATTTGGATACAGTGTGACAGCTTAAATCCAGCTGTCATACTTGCTGCATTAGGTTCTGCTGAAGCGAATTCGGAACATCCAATAGCTACTGCGATAATAAAATATGTCCGAGAGGCTCTGGGTACAGAATCAACAGGTAGTTCAAGTAATTTTCAGTCTGTACCAGGTTGTGGAATGAAATGTACAGTTTCCAATCTTTCCGGCATTATTACCAAGGCTGAAGATAGCACAGAGCTGAATAATTTTGTCAACCTAGTCAACGCAGGAAGTTCGGGTTTATTTACTGTTAAGGGAGTTCAGATCGAAGTTAGTCATTCTCAAAATATGAAATTGGGTCAGCTGATCGGAATGAGTTCTTCATTGGAAAATGATTCAGGAAACTATGAGGTTATTGTTGGAAACAGGGAGTGGATGAGTAGAAATGGTTTCATCATAGCTACACACATTGATAGAAATATGACTGTTGAAGAGGAGCAAGGAAGATCTGCAGTACTTTGTGCAATAAATGGTAAAAAATATATAGTTCTATGATATTATATGATTATGATATTATGATATGATATGACATTATCATACCGGTTATTGGGATTGTGTTAACTGTATAACTCAAAAATGTAACAACTCAAGATATTTTATCATTTCAGACTTCCAATGTCTATTATGATGATGACAGTAAAAATTAAAAATAAACTAGCTGAAAAAAAAAACAATTATATCAAGCAAAAAAACTGAAATTACAATGAAATAAAATACAAGCAACAACCAAAAAAATCAATAAATTGAACTATTAAAACAAGATGAAAATAAAAAAATATATATTAACAAGAAATGAAAATTAAATATCGAAAGATTCCAAACCCCAAGTTACTTCACGATGTTTCGATTGTTAGTATCCACAATCAGTTTAAGCAGATTAAAGCCATTGCAATTGACAAATTATCATTTGACCGTTTTTTCAACAATGTAGAAAATGAGCACAAATAGAAAGAATTATAAATATGATTATTTATTATAATTGCATCACATCGTAGAAATTTTTTCAAATCTCAATAATTTCTGATTGAATTATTTGAGATCACTATCATATGTGTTTTTGTTGACTTTTCTTTGGAATGATTGTAAATGATATAATCAATTGTATTTGTCGTTTTGTTAAACCTAGATTGGCCAGTTATCTGAAGTATAGATCATGAATAACAGAAATGACTCTATGAAACATTATATTTTTGATTGAGATATAGTCTTATTTCTGACGAATTTGATCAACTCCAATATGAAGATTCTTGGTAATTTCCAGGTAGTATCGTAGCAATGTTGAGTGTAGCAGACACAGTCAAACCAGAAGCACATCTAGCTGTATACACTTTGAAAAAAATGGGCTTGGAAGTGATCCTTCTGACTGGTGACAACAGACAAACAGCTGCAAGCATAGCTAAACAAGTTGGTATAACAAGGATCTATGCAGAAGTTCTTCCGTCCCATAAAGTAGCAAGGGTGCAAAGGTAAGCACAATCAGATTTTTTAATACTAATAATCATGCAATTTTCATTACCACTGCGGTCTTACTATCAGAGAGGTCCGTTACAGAATTGACCGCTGATTCCCTTTATTTAGGTAGCATCATGAGTATTGATGATTTTTGCAAACGCCAACATGAATAATTTTAACATTTTGAAACCGGTGAAAGTAACTAACCTATTAACCGGCCAGGAGCATTGGGAGATGTATTACATATAGAGAAGGAAGTGAGTAACATTCAATGCACATTTATAATCGACCAGACATCTTTAGTAGCTTATGCATTGACTGCGAGAACGAAGGTAGTATCTCAAAGTCCCAACAATAACTGACTGGGAAGCTATGTGTTTACTCGTATTTATAATTTTAGGGGTGCTGGGGGTGGTGATGAGGGTGTGATTTTGAATGCTGGATATGACGTGTTTTGCAATGTCAAGCTTCAAACATCCTTCTATCAGGAATTCAGATCGGTGGGAGGTGCATTATAAAGATTCTGGGCAAAGACAAATGAAAATGTTTATCAGACTATTTTCAGAGGCTTCCAGAATGGAATGAGGGAAACATATTTCAATTATCTTAATAATTGAATAGTTCAGGGGAACCTGTCACCCTGATTACGAGTTTGTCTCTGTATATAGAATAATGAGTTGATTTTTTAAAATTTGGATCATCATCACATTAGATTGACTACTACTCACCTTATGTTGATAGGTCAAAGATTCAATTATATTTTTTTAATATTTTAAAAATCTGTCACATAATAGTAGGTATATGAAATCTATGTGTAATATGAACTCTGGTAATCTAGTGTTAGGAATCACACGTTAAAAGGTAAGACCTCGTTAGTCCTTAGCTCGCACAATTTTCGACTTCTGAGGGTTGTCGTTCGTAGGGGTGCGATAGCAGGTTAACGGAAAAACATATGAAAATAAAATGAAAAGGAAGTAATAGAAGCTGAAAAAAGTTGAAAATTGGTTGTAATGAACCGGAATACAAACATCTAAATCATAAATATATTTTTCAATTCATTGAACATATAATTTGATCTGCTTTTGAATATATACAGTAAACTTTGGGATAGAAACTTGAAATATATAGCAGCGGTATCTGTCTTATCATGTAAGTTTGAATGGGAAGTGACACGAGACCCACTTTCAAAAAAACTGCTGGTGGAGAAAACAGCACTATCTCAAATCCATTGAAGTTATCCGATTCAGATCATTTGATGTACTATATTATGTAGTACTTCATTTATTACTTATTTGCCCAAAAATTCAAATGATTTTACAAACTCATTTTAATGGAAAAATTACCTAAGTTTACAAATCAACTAATTACCAAATTCCATGTTGAAAAAAAATAATGAAGGGTTCGTATTTAATTCTATTTGGTCATTCAGTAAATTTTCTGGATATATTTATTTCTAAGCACTTCCATGCAAATTAAGTTTTAAACCTCTCTTTCCCAAATGTTACACGCCATAGTCGTGGTTGAACTCATACCCTCTGCCAAAAGATCGTTTTGAAATGTGGAATTGGTCTTTACATTCAAGAAACTATTCCTATGCTCTTTCATTCTTTTGAAAACGGCTCTTCCCATTTAGCCAATATAAAGTTTTGGTCAATCAATACAAATCAGTTGATGGCTTGTTTTTGCAATTTTTGTAGAATGGCGTCGATAATATCTACCTTGTAACTGTTATTGACAGTTCTCTCTGAAAATTACTTTCTAACAGTGTTATTTCAATAATATCAACAAGTTATCTTTCAGGTTGCAAGCCAAAGGTCTCAAGGTGTGCATGGTTGGCGATGGTATTAATGATTCGCCTGCTCTAGCACAAGCCGATGTTGGAATAGCTATTGCCTCGGGTACTGATGTTGCAGTTGAGGCAGCACATGTGGTACTCATGAGAAACGATCTTTTAGATGTTGTCGCTTGTTTGGAACTTTCTCGAAAAACTGTCAATCGAATAAGATTAAATTTTTTCTTTGCAAGTGTTTACAATGTCATAGGTGAATATATTGGTATCAGAGTCATATATACATTTAATAAAATGCGAATGAAGTACTTCATACCATGAAATATAACTTAATAAACAATATCATGTATTGCAGGTATTCCCCTAGCAGCAGGGGCCTTCAGCATGATAGGATTTATGCTAGCCCCATGGATGGCAAGTGCTGCAATGGCTCTGAGTTCTGTTTCTGTGGTTTGTTCCAGTTTGTTACTTAAGTTATGGTCTAAATCAACCAAAAAAGATCTCGAAACAGCAGATTACTTGGCCAGTAAAGAGAGTACCAGTTTAGATACCATATCTATTCATCGAGGACTAGATGATATTGAAGAAATTAATGGAAGTCCAACCAAGTTTTCAAGGTATAATAGTCTGGTACAAAATCCATGAAAATATTAAATACTGATTGAATTATTGAGTCATAGACTTACTAGTTACCAAAGTTGGGGATTATTTTATAAAACTTTATAAATTACAATCATTTCATTTTTTCATTGAATATTTTCAGCCATTTTTTTTCACTCTCATTTCAGAAATCTCTCGCAAATAGAGTTGACTTCAAATGTAAAAGCTACACAAGCATAGTGAGTTTGTGTATTTTTATGCTTATTCATTCACTTTTCATATTATTTGCCACTATTTTATCTGTGATTTTCGTCTAGTTTCATTGTTGAACTTATTATAACAGCATGAAGTGTTTTTTATTTTATTTTATATGTTTGTGAGTGTCTCACCCTCCTTTTGATTTTTTCGATTTTTGTTTTGTACAATTCTTTTTTTTTATTGAATTCATTTCTTGCAAGCTTGATATCAGTGTATAGTGATTGCAGACATCATCTGCTTACCTTCAAATAAATTTCTGAAACGTCTAGTTATCTAATCTAGTTATCAGAAGTTAAAAAAAACCTAAGCAAGATATTCAAGCCTTGCAGGATCAAGTTCTGTATTAGTCCTGTGTGGGAGAAGATTGATTGACGTGTAGAATAACATATGATGTGACCAATGTCAATGGAATTTGATTCCGAATGGACGGAGAGGATAATTTAAGGCAAAAATTTCAAAAATAAACATTGGAAGTTAAAATTCACAACTTGTAGGTGTATTTGTCTATACAAATTTGGTTAATTTCAGAATTGACTGGAATTATTATATCCAACCTATGTACTTAAATATTATCAAATAGTATTTTCTTGTCTTGTATCTTACACATGTATATTATTACATCAAGAAAATGAATTGTGAAACAACCTGAGGCTAATTTTCCCTTTAACGAGTTTCTACTAATTTCAATTCATTAGAACTATAGAGTCAGAGCAGTATTTTTCCTATTTTCAATGGAGTCATAAAAATCGATGAAAAAGACTAGAAGTCTGTTTTAAAAAATGAAAGTTCATAATGAAATCCGATGAATGAAACGTTACATTGCAAATTGCTTTATATCAGATTATAACATTCGAAATGGAGGTGATATTCTCGATGTGAAATGATATTATAGATAGATAGATCTCATAGGAGAAGAGACCGCATGGAACTGTGCATACAAAGTAATAAGGAAAATTATCGAGTCCAAGGAGAGGGAAAGTAGGAATTGAATTATCAAGTTAATATTTTTTTGTTTTTTGTCTGGCCTTTGGATATATAACGGGTCGAATACTGAAGTAATGCGAGAGCGGTTTCCGGTACTTGGCACCGAGTAATAGGGAGAGGGGTTTTAGTCGGTAAGATTAGTGCCCAGCGTGAATGAAAAGATAGATAGATAGACCACCTGAAGATATCTCCACCTTTTTGCGGTAGTGTGGCTTGCGTGTTTCCATGATCCTGAGAGCCATGCAGGCGGTAGCGTACCTACTAGTAGGGCTCCCTTGCTGGACGGGTCGAGGGGGACAGATTGAACTGAGCAAGCGGTAAAGTACATTGAAGTATGGTTTGACACAAAGCTGACCTTTGCAGAGCATTGGAAAAAACAACTACAGCGCTAGCAAATCGGATGCCCAACATCGGAGGTCCAGAGCTTCAAAGAGACGGATCATGTCTAAAGTAGTTCATTTCCGGATTCTGTACGGCCCATCATCCTGGTATACCACAATGCAAAATAAGAAACTCGTTCAGAAATTAACAGCAGTGCAGAGGCAAATGAACATTCGAAAGTGCAGCTCATATAGCGGAAGTTCCACCGATATAAATTCAAGTGATGGAACGCTGGAATGGAAGACAATGGAACACTACAGTGGTCTGGGAAGAACTGCAGCCATTGAAAACCTCATGCGTAGGTGGCAACTGAAATGAGTCAGTAATCTTAGTAGGAGATGGAAACATCGACTCATTCCCAACATAGAGAGCTGGTTAACCAACCCCTTGGTAGATTATTACCTTTGGTAAATTACTTCACCGAAGCACTTTCTGGACACGGCTGCTTCGGTAAATATCTGTATGACAAAAGTAGATCAGAATCTGCATTTGGCAGTCAGTGTCAGGTAGATGATTATGCAGAGCACACACTTTTTGTATGCCCAAGAAGAACATAAATGCGTGTGGAATACCACCGAGAAACGGTAAAATTATTAAGTCCTGAACATATGATGGAAGATGTCAAATAGACCTCATGGAACGGTGCATACAAACCAAAAAGGAAAATTAACAAGACAAAGGAGAGGAAAAGTAAAAATTGAAGTATCTAGTTTATATTTTTTTGTTTTTTTTTGGCCGACCTTTGGATATAATACGGTCAAGTACTGAAGTAATGTGAGAGCGGTTTCCAGTACTTGGCACCGAGTAATAAGGGGAGGGGTTTTTGTAGGTAAGAATCCGACACAGCATCTATTAAAATTTCCCCTCCTCAAAAAAAAGACAGATATTTTATTTTTCTCTGAATGTTATAACGCAAAAATACATGAAGACATACATTAGGGAAACGTCATAATCACAAATTATAACAATTTCAAATCAATATATAAAAATATTTCGACATTGGGTACATGTTAAAAACATTCGACATTGGATACATATTGGATACAAGTTAAAACCATTCGACATTAGAACATATACGTCAAACAAAATAAAATATTATTAAATAATTAGGTGGATGCTGTAAATTTTTCATCAAGAAATTCTTGTGTTGGGTGGGTTGAATTATCTTCAAAAACTCACATATTTTGTTATAGAAATTAAGTCCCATATAATGTGGATTTTCTTGTCCTAATGACAATTTTGAGAAGAGTTGACTGATCCCGTCTTTATATGTAGTGTTTTGATATTGGATATCCTTCCTTGCTGCCAGAAAATCATTTTTATTCATAATATGTACAATTGTAGAAGAAATATATAGACAAGGTATTATGCTGAAATTGACACAGTGGTTTCTACATGAAGCTCTTTTTGATGTATTAGTCATACAGTGGATGATTTTTTTATGTGGTGAAGAGTTTACCAGATTTGTGTGCTTTACCCCAGAATAAAAGGCAATATGAAATGAGTGTATGAGTCCAAAATATAGTAGTTTTAGGACTTCACCTAATACTGTTACGGATGAAATAATAACAAAACTGTACAAACTCAGTTGGGATGATTTACCATATATGTACATATATAATTGGATATCCTGTTATTTTAAAATTACTGGGAAAATCTGTGATGAATGTATTAAATATTGTCGGTGATAGACATGATCCTTGGGGTGTCCCCATTTCAACCGCTCTGGATATTTTCTTTTAACAAAACTTATTTCAATTGAATGGGTTATATTTTCAGGACTGATTGATTTTTTTGTATCAAGATGGAGTAGTAGAAAGCCAAAAACGTTCTTTCCCAAAACTTATTTACTAACATGCTAAGAGAATATGAGATAATATCGCTTACTGTTTCTATAATATTCTACACAGGATGATTTCTTTGAGTAAACTTTTCAATAATTTCATTTATTCCACCAGGGTTTGAGTGATCCAGAAAAAAAGAATGACACAGAGCTATTATATCCAAAGTATGATTTTCGTTTTTAGTTTTATATGCATTTTCATTAGTGAAGAATGAATTGAAAAAATAACACTTTCTTTTTCATCTTTCATAGTTTCGTGGTTGTCTATCTCCAGCAGTCACTATTCATGTTAACACAGCTAATTATTCTATCATCATTGAATGTTTTTTTTTCTACATTTACTTGTTTTTTCAGACTTATTTATGTATCTCGATGTATAATTATCATTGTTTATTCTTTTAGATATTTCTGTGATGTTTTCCTTACCAGGTTTGACAGTTCTTCGATTTGTAGTGTAATCCACGGCCTCTTATGTTTCTACTATCTCTGAATTCTTTAAATGGAAACAATAGTTCAAACAATTCAAGAAGTTTGTTGTAGAAAATAGAAAATAATGTTTGATAATCACTATTAATATGTGATAGTTTATTCGAGTATACAAGCATTGAGCTTTTTCAGAAATTTTGAATATCATTTACACTAAATACCCCACCTCTTATCTTACGATAATTAATAGTTCTCTGTTATCATACTAATATAATTGAAATTATTTGATATGTGTGATCCGCTAGTTCTATATCGATAACTTGTGTTAAATAGTTATCGAGGTTAGTTTAAATATTATCCATACAGGTTTCACTGTTATTTGTGATTCGAGTTGAAATGTTAATTGTTTCTGTCATATTTTATTCCCTATACGAATTGAGCAACATTTTTTTATGTTCATATGATTTGCCAGGAAGGAGATTCATATTCATGTCTCCACATAATATATATGAGTAGTTTTCTTTATAAATAACTTTGACAAACTCATCAAGTTTCTCAATTTATAATTTGAAATCGGAAGTAGGTGACCTATAGAGTGAAAATATAATAGTTTTTCCTATATTTGGAATATCAAATTCTGCACCGCTTACTTCAAAAAGTGTTTCTGTGCATATTTTATTTAATTCTATCTTTCTGAATGCAATGTCTTCTGTCGCTATCACACACACACACACACAACCCCACGTTCATATTCTGTTACCTGTACTTTTCAAAACCCAGCTTTTCTATTCCTGATTTGCACCATGTTTCAGATAAGCACAATACACCGATATTATGCTTCTATAAAGAATTTCTAACCGTGGAATTTTCCCTGTTAGTCCTTGTATATTAATATTCATAATGCTGAAGTGTTCACTGGTTTACATAATTGAATTAACGTAAATTCTAGTGTTTGAAGTGGTGCTGTCTCTATTGTGTTTTTGAGTGTACTCTGGTTTTGGAATTTTATTGGTTCAGGTTTCCTCCATTATGACTACTGGTGCAAGTTCTTTCATTCAGCAAGTGGCGCCCTAGATTGAAGTTGAATCGGTTGTGTCGTATGTTTGGTAATCATAGCTTGTACTTCGAGTTGTTAGTTTTGTAACAATTATATTTTTGGATCTGATTCGCTTTATAACATACTTTTCAATGTTTTCTGTCCTAATTTCCTCTGGGACTCTGGATATAAATAACCATATTTTTTTCTCTGCCTTTTCACGTCCACAAAGTTCGTCATTTTCTTCGCCGCTTCTCGTCATATATTTTATTTTCCTTCTTTCTACCAATATGAAATTATAATCCATTTCTGTCTTCTCTGTAATTTTTGTAAGATTAGTTATTTCATCTAGTTTCTTTTCAATTTGTATTTGTATATCAGAGTTTTTGTGGGAGCACTGATTTTGTTGAAATTATTTGTGATCTT